CAACCCATTTGTGAATTAAGAGCACTGAGGTTCAGAAGATTACATATGTTGGCTAAGGTTAGTGAAGGAAATGGTAAAAACTAGGAGTCACTTTCAACTTGTGATCTTTATCTTGCCCTTCCACCCAAGTTCCTACAGTAAAGGCTTAAGATATGATCTTTTTTCTGGATTGTTTCTATTTTAATGGTAATCATCAATGTCTTCAATCTATTGTGTCAATAGCAAGGACAATTCAGGCCAGGGGTGAGGTGGTTTTGAAAAAGGGTTTCTTAAGGCCCCATGGAATCTCTTGGAATTCAGAGCTGACTGCTTTTGATTTGTGCCTGCTGGAATTGAGAGTTGTCTACAGCCATCAGAAGTTACTGTCAGTTACTCTTCTTGTTGCTGAGCCAAAATACCTGACACCCGAGGTTAAAGGAGGAGAGGTTTATTTCAGCTCACAGTACATAGAGGTTTCAGTCCAGTCAGCTGGCTCCAAGGCAGAGTGGTATGGCAGAGGGACATCACAGAGGAGAAATAATTCATGGCAAGCAGAAGGCAGCAAAGTATCAAAGTAGCAGCAACAGCAGGCAGAAACAGCTACCTTCTTTCTGTCCCTTTATATTCCATCCAGGCTGCAAACTTAATGATTGAGGCCACCCCATTCAGGGTGGGGCACCCTGAATCCCAGCATGATATCCTAAACCCAGCATCACACACATAATCCAGCCACCTTTGAAACTCACCTATGACCACATGAGACCTTGGCGGGACATCTAGAAACAAGTCATAACAGTTACTCTTGAATATTAGTCACACTTCTAGCCCTCATATCAAGCCAAAATCAATACCAGCTCACCCTGATAAAAGTGAATGATTTTTAAGTTAGTGACCATAATGTCACTCCCTGGTCTACATCACTGCCAAAATACAGTGCAAATAAAGACCTGGATTAGCCTCATAAAAGTGTGGAATTGCTGTTTTTGGTGATGCTATTGATGATTCTACTCATCCTGTTATGAAACTCTTTTCTGTGATCTATAGTTAAGAACTTGTTGCGTGGCTTTCAATATATACAGCTATACTCTATGGAATTCCGTGACCATTGGATATTCCGTGACCATTGGATAAATTCTAGTAGTTGTAGACAATCCACATAGACAGCTTATGACTCATTAGGCAACAAAACTGCCAAAAATACCTTACATTAATTTGACATTTTTCAGAATTTAAGGAATTCCATTGCTTTATTTGTACATTACTTAACTAGGCAACAGTGATATCACAGATGCTCTGAAAATTCCCATGAGTTATATCAAGGCATTGGTAGATTAAGTTAATGCTTTAGGTGAATGTTATATATTCTCTTTCTTTCTCAAGCAGCTTTGTAACAACCAGCATCTACTTTTTCATGAAATGAAAATGCCTCCATGGGCTGGGGATTTAGCTCAGTGGTTTCGATGCCTGCTGCGCAAGTGCAAGGACCCGAGTTCGATCCCCTGTACCAAAAAAAAAAAAAAATAGAAAATGCCTCCTTGTCTTATAACTTCCTTGATTATAGTTTTATTGCTTCAGTATCTACTTTCTTTTATGGTTCTATTAAAAGGCTTTCTTTCAGGTAAAAGGAAAAGAGATTTTTTTAAAAGTTCTAAGCTGTGCTAGGCATGGTGGTGCACACCTCAGTCTGGGAGACTGAGGCAGGAGGACCATAAGTTCAAGCCCAGTCTGGGCAACTTAATGACTTAGCAAGACCCTGACTCAAAATAAAAAATAAAAAAGGGTTGAGGATGTGGCTCAGTGAGAAGATCCTGAGTTCAATCCTAGTACTGCAAAAAAGAAAAAAAAGTCTAAACTGGGCATGGCCATGGTGGTACACATCTTTAATCCCAGCTACTCTGAAGCCTGAGGAAGGAGGATTGCAAATTCAAGGCCAGCCTCAGCAATTTAGTGAGACCCTGTCTTAAAATTTTTAAAGGGCTGTGGGTGTAACTGGATGGTAGAGCACTTGGCTAGCATGAGTAAAACCCTGGGTTCATTCCCTAGTACCAAAATTATCAGCTAAAGTAAAAGGTCTTTAACCCTTTAATGTGGATCAGTGTTTCTCCAAGTCAGAGTTGAGCAGGAAGCAGTTGTTGCAAGGAGGATCCATGGTTTGTTGCTTTTTTGGTTGTGTTTGCAAAGTCTTCTCTCACCCTTCTCCCTCCTGGCTGTCTTGGCAAAACCATCCAGAATCCAGCCCAGCCAGCCCCTATATTCCCTTCCCTGTTAGTATCTCCCTCAACTTTAGAGGCAGGCAGACTTGTGCTATCGCAGTCCCACTGCCACCCCCTGTTGACCATGAAACCTCAGGAAAGTTCCTCACTCTATATGGGCCTCATTTTTCTCATTCATCTAAAGGGAAAGTAGACTCATTTGCAAGGTTATGAATATTGAGTAAAATAGCACAGTATAAGTACCCAGCAAAATGCCTGTGGCATAGTAAGCACTCCACAAATGTGGGTTCCCTCCATGGGCCCTTTCTTAACACAGAGCTCCTCTGACAGTGCTCCACAGAGCTCTGATGTAGAGCTTGATGTCAAGGAGGGGCACTCTGACTACGAGCCAGGAGCAAAGCAGAGGGAGTCCTTGAATTTCCATGCAGTTCAAAGTTTTTTGACTGCTGTTGACTAAATAATTCCAAAACTGGACAGGCAAAAGAAACTTGTCTCTGTTAAGGCTTTGTATTTCAGCCACTGCCTTGAGGAAGCTCTCACTATTTCAGAGAAGAGCATTCATAACACCAAATAGTCATTCTCCTGCCCATGAGCCAGGTTGCCCGGGTAGCAGTGGCTCCAAACAAAGAAATAGTGAGAGGTTTGTCCATTCTTAGTGCCTAACTTGACTGATGTTATACAAGAGTTTGTTTCATTTTACTGAATAGAGTTACTCCTTCACTAATTGGCTCTCCATCTTGTGAAAATGACTGGGCAAAGAGGGTTGCTCCCTTCAGAGGGTTGCTCCCTTCAGAGGGTTGCTCCCTGCTTGGACCTGCAATTTCTCCAAAGGCTTTTCTGGCACATCAGGTTCCCTCAGCTTCTCATTGAAGCCAACAGGTTTTCAATAGCCTCTTTGTTGATCCTCTTCCATGAGAATTATGTCTGAGCTTGCTCTAGGAGACATTCCAGGTCTACTCTTACAGGAGTGTTTGCTAGTGTCAGCATGTAAGGTGCTTGTTACGTTATCTGTAATATCAGAGTCCTTCATCCTTCAAAAAATGTAAGAGAGAATATAAATTTGTGGTCCAGAGGTCCAATCCGGTACACAGACATGGGTTTATTTTTCCTTTGAATTGTGTACATAGTGTTTAGCCTTTGACATTTTTATTACTAAATTCTTCATACAGCAAAGTAGAGAGATTTTTATTGCAACCCCCCATGTATCTAACCCCTCAATTCAACCATTAACATTTTATTCTACTTGCCTTCTCACTTACCTATCTATCCCTTGAGCCATCAAGCAATCCTTATTTTTTCATACATTTCAAAGCAATTTGCAAAAATTAGTACCCTTCCTGCTAAACATTTCAGTATGCTAGAATTCAATAAGAAATTCACAAATCTAAAGTTTACATTCACTGACTCATGACAAATGCATACACCTACATAGCCCTGACCTCTATCAATAAAATATTATGACCCCTAGAAAGTTCCCTCCTGCCCTTCCCAGTTATCTCCCTCTGCAAAGTGACTACTCTTCTGAATCTTTTTCTACCATACATTACTTTTGTTTAGAATGTCATATATATGGGATCTAATATGGTTTTGTGTGTGTGTGTGTGTGTAGCACTTCTTTCATTCAATGTAATGTTTTGAGATGACCCATGTTATTGCATGAATCAGTAATTTGTTTCTTTGTATTTTCAAGTAATAGTCTGTTCTACCACTATTCATCCAATTTCCTTTGATAGTTGACCTGTTTCCAGTTTTTTGGCTCCGATAAAGCTGCTAAGAACATACTTGGACAAGTTTGCTTGTTTTTATTTTCTGTTAGGAAAATAAACACCTTCTAGAAGTAGAATTTCTGAGTTTTAGGATAGACGTATGTTTACAATGAATATAATGAATTACCGAATCTTTTTCTGACACAATTGCATTCCCACCAACAATGCGTGAGAGTTCCAGTAGCTCCAAATCCTAGCCAACATTTGATGTTATCAGCCTTAGCCATTCTGGTGGGTGTGTGGTAGTGCCTCCTTGTGGTTTTGATTTACACTCCCCTAGTGACCAATAATGCAGAGCACTTTTTCATTATATGGTGTTTTTAAAATTTAATCAATCATTTAAAAGTTAAGTTTCATGTAAGATCCTGGATTTCCAGCTTTTCGTGCAACATTAAAGGGCCTGGCAAAGCTGGACTCATATTCCCACCTGGGACCAATCAATGGAAACTTACCAGTGGCTATGCCTTAGAGGCAACTGTTCTTCAGCTCCCTGAGAACAGAATCCTCCAGATAACACCTAGTTATGTTACCTCACCTTATCACAATTGCAGTGCTGTTTTCCTCCTTGTTAAGAGCAAAGTGAGCTGGTTCTTGAACCCATTACTGGGGAAATGAAAGGTGGATCAAGAGGGCTGTAAAGTGCAAAAAAAGCAGGAAGACCACATTTCTTTGGGGCAATGAAAAAAATATTACTACAGTGTTTAATATGTAAATTAAATGGATCTATTCTGAAAAGAAACACCATAAGACTCTATAATGAAACTGCCTGACTTTACTCATTTTTATTACCTGCCTGGCCCCATAGGAATCTGAGTTTGTAATTCCTATAGTAGAAATCTTGAATTGATAAATTATGCCTCGAGGCTGCAGTAACTGCAAGTTATTTAGATATACAAAGGGATCTAATTTCATGTCCTTTTATTGAAGAAAAAAAGCACTCCCCAGTTCTTCATTTAGCATACTTTGTGTGTTAGAAAACATTGCGGCCAAAAAAATTTCTTGTTTCACTTCCTCAATTCTATAATTTTACTTTTAATTCCAGGATTGTAAGTGGAAAATGTATATGGAGATGGATGGGGATGAAATTGCAATAACCTACATAAAAGATGTGACATTCAACACTAACCTACCTGATGCAGAGATTTTAAAGATGGTAAAGGTAAGGCTCTATTTACAGCTTAAAAGCTTTTTTGAATTCACAGATATCAAACAGACATTAAAATACCCCAGCAGTGTGCTTCTGTGCTTGTGATGCTCGCATCAGCTCAGCCTCAAGCTGGCTGTTGAAAGGCACATTTTATTTAGTAGATTGAGACAATAATAGGTTTTTGTTAAAATTCCACTTATGCTGTGTGAGCTAAAAAGCATTGCAAAAAAAATTGTTTAATTTTTTAAAAATTTCTGTCTACATTTCTTTATGCTTACCCATTTATTAAAGGAAAGAAAATGTTATTGATGACAATATTTGCTTCAAATTTGAGTCATTTTTAAACTTTGGAAAACTTGTAAAGAGGAAAACTTTTCTTGGTTTAGTTCAATTTCCTGCAAGACTGGGATGAGGCTATTTCTGGGTATATGTTGAAGTTTTCATGGCTCCTTGGGTTCGCATTTGGGAATTCCTGGATTTTCAGAGTGTCTTACTTACTCCAAAGTCACTGGTAGAAATATGCCATTGGGAACACTGAAGAAAGACTTATAGAAACACTTAACTTGCCCCTTGGAATGGAAAAAAATCAGTTCTGTCCCAACCATATGGAGAAAAACACACATGAAACTTCTATTGTAGAAGATCAACAACTTGAGGCAAACAACTGTGATGTCAATAGGATTGTCAACATAACCTCAGCCTTTAACTCTCATACACTCTTAACTGTGTATTTGGGTTTAGTCCAGAAAATGAGGCTTATCACAAAGTACCAAGGTACAAACATAAGTAGAAAAGTAAAATGAACTTTCAGTGCCATGGCCTTAGACTTGTGAATGTGTTCTCTGCACAAGCATGGGATCGCTAAACACCCAAGTCCTTTTAATATACAAGTGGCTTCATCAAGTAGACTGATTTTGTTTTTCTTTTTTTTTCTTTTTTTTCTTTTTGGTACCAGGGATCGAACTCGGGTCCTTGCGCTTGCGCAGCAGGCGGCAAAACCACTGAGCTAAATCCCCAGCCCAAGTAGACTGGTTTGATATTCGTTGTTGGGTTCCTTTGTATAACTGGGAGTTATTTCAATGGCATTATTTATCTGTAGAGGTTATGATTTGAGTTTAACTTTTCCTTTCGTTGTTGGGGCGTATTATGTTGTTATGTCTTGAAGACTAGAAAGTATAGATACTGTCACTGGAGTTTAAAGGCAAAAGGCCTTATTGGGGTCCCAACAGACCAGGCCCAGCCACCCATTCCATAACACCACTCAAGGAGATGAGCAGCGATGAAGACCAGGAAAGGAGCTTTAGTCAGCATGGCCATGCTGGGGAGCACAGATAAAGGTGTTCAATATCTGTCTTCAAGGGTCTAACAGAAGCTTTGGGGTTTATAGAAAGGGGGAACAAAGGCAAGGACTGGCTGGGAGTTGATATAGCTGGGGGGGGTAGATTTACATAGCTGGCAGCAGAGGTGATCCTGGTCAAGTCAGGGTCTGGTTGATATCTTAGGACTGGTTCTGTGAGGTCTTGGAGAGCCATCATCACTTGAGGGGGTAATTTGGCTCCCACCACGAGATGACTGGGCTTCTGCTTTGGGGGAGCAACCCTAGTTCCCACCATGGGGCAACTGCTCCTGGTTAAGGGGTGACCTTATCATGGGATGATATTTAAGGCTCTGCTTTTCCTGGAATCCAAAGTGATTAGTGGTTTAGGACAGTGACTTGAGACTTCTAGATATCTCTCCAAGGTGTCTAGAACTGGACATTGTAAAAGCTGGTAATTAGCAAATCCTAAAAATTATTTTAGTTACTCTTACCTCGTTGTCCTCAGTCTTGAAAGGGAATGAGGTAGGCTAAATGAATTTAGGAATAACAAACTTTGTAACGCAGACACTCCCTGAGTGATTAACATGCCTACGTGCAGAGCTGAGCAGAGATCTGACCCGGGGTTTGTTTGTTTTTTTGGTACAGGGGATCGAACTCAGGACCTTGCACTTGCAAGGCAGGCAGCAGAACCACTGAGCTAAATCTCCGCCCCTAACCCAGAGTTTTAGGGTAATAACAGAGACACAGTAAATGAAGGCAGAGATGCCACTGGGCATCCGCCGGCACAGCCTTTAAGTCCCTGTTACAATACTTTCTGCTTCTTCCCCACCTGTGACCTCACTGGCTGTGGCAGTTGTTCCTTGCTTCAGTGTACTTTAGAGTGAGATCCAAATCCCTGACTATGAGCAGAAGTTAAGTTGCTCCCAGAAAAAATAGTAGGATGGAATTGTAAAACAGAGTGTCCTTGTTTCTGTTATACCACATGTGCAGAATCACACACCAACACCAACAGGGCTCATGGAAAAATAAGATGGAGCAGACAATTGAAAATGTATAGAATTTTATAACACCAAAAGAAACAGTAACAATCCTAATTTAAAACAAAACAAGACCTGTTAATATCTATTACATTTTCTGTACCCAGCTCATAGGCAGTCATTCTTTTGCAGCCTTAAAACCAGAGGGCCAGGGGCCAGGGATGTAGGTCAGTGGCAAGCACAAGGTCCTGAGTTTGATCCCAGGTACCAAAAAGAAAAAAAAAATAGACAGGAAGATGGGAGGAGAATGCAACTCACTTCTAATAGGCATTAATTTCATCAAAATTAAATAGCGTCCAAGACATAGGCCTCTTTACTCATCCCTTGTTTTAAGACAGTGGGAAAATATTGCCACAGTGTCTTCACTGGTACGTGTGGCATTGTGGGGTAGCCTGACCGAGTGGGAAGCTGAGTGATTGCTGCAGCCACTACACCAGCCACTGCTTGCACTCAAAGAACACACTTCTGGGTCTTCTCATATTGTTGTGATTTTCTTTTAGTTTTGAGAAAGTTTTTCTGTAGATGATTTAAACATTAGGATGAATTAATGATATAATAATTATATAACGATATAATGTTAGGACTGAGCGATAGCAAATGTTATATCACAAAAGAGAGGATTGTGAGAGACTAAAATCAGCTGTTTACAGTTGTGTGAAAGGATGTGTTAATGGAAAACAAAGCCCAAAACATGAGCACGTTGTGAACCAGCATAACTTTCACGATAATCTGGTATGATGCCCCTATTTGCCAACTGAGGATGGCGCAGCTGGCCTGGAAGAAACACACTGACAGGACAGGCAGTACTGTGGTATTATACCTCCTAGCTTTTCTTTTTCAGCCACCATTTGTGATGGAGAGGTGGATTGTGGGAATAGCACAAAACCAGACCGTGGAGTGCACTGTCACATATGAGGTAAGTGTCTGGATTGGATGGCTTCTGGCCTTCCTGTCGGTTACTGAGCAGGGTTGTAGCTGGTCCCTCGGAGTGCTTATAGTTTTTGGGGATTTACTGGGAAAGAAATTACTTAACCAACATGAATATGAGATCAATATAATTTCACTGACAAAATATTTGAAAAGGTAAGAGAACAGGATAAACTGACCTAGATAGAGACTGGGACAACACTTCATTCATTCATTCATTCATTCATTCTTGACTGAACACTGCTACACACCACGAAATATGTTTAGGTACTGGGAATACCATAAAGTGATTGAAGCAGACCTTTGCCTTCTCAGAGCCAAGAATTTAGGGGTGAGAAAAGATGAATGAATCTTCAAAAGGGCAGAACACAGCCCCACTACCAGGTGGGGAAAAAGTATACGATCAAAAACAGATGAACTGATTGCATATACTTTGATGTGGAAAGATAGAAAATGTTATACTTTTTTAAAGATATGCTGTTAAAATTAGAATTCATATGTTTAACAGTACCTGAAGGCAGCTGCTGTTCTGTGATTAGGATATTCAAGACCTACACTCTCTGGAGGATTATATTCTGGTGGGGCCAAATAGAGAATAAGTAACAAATAAGTAAATCATGTCAGAGAGCAAAAGGTAATAAATGGAAAATAACTTGGGGTGTTAGATTGGGTGCTCAGGGAGGAAGTCTCTGAAGAGGAGGCCGCAGGAAACAGCAGGAAGATCAAGTGCAAGTCCCCATGCACAGGGTACAATGACAAAGCTAGGCAGGTGGGCAGGGCCTGGCCATGGGCCCCAGTAAGGAGTTTGGATTTGCCATAAGCAGAATGGGAAGTTAACAGGGCATTTTAAATAGCAGATAGAAAGAATCTAATTATGTTTTAAAAATCAACAAGATCTGCATAATAACATGTATATGATTACCAATGCTTGGCACTAAAAAAATTTTAAGATAATAGATGTCATGTTATACATTTTGTGTCATAACATTTTTCACATTAACAGAGAATGGTCTCTCTGTATATATATTTTAATGATCTGTGGTTCCATAAATGTATTTAACACCAATAATTTTTAAAATCACCAACATCTTCCTGGTTGGTAGGACATTAACCTTACAAAATAGAACAGCCCTGTGTGGAGCAGATGGAGGAGTACAGTTGGAGTAGAGTGGAGATACATGAAGATATTAGTGTGCATCTAGCACTGATAAGACCTGCACTTCCAAGCCAGGCTCGGTGGTTCATGCCTTTAATCCTAGCACTCGGGAGGCTGAGGCAGGAGGATTGCTCAGAGTTCAGGGCCAGCCTGTGCTACATAGTGAGTTCAAGGCCAGCATGAACTGCATCATGAGACCCTGTCTCAAAAAAAAGATCTGCTTTAAATTGGGGTTTATGCACTGCTGCATGTTGTGATGATATCCCAAACTACCAGGTTTGGCTCTTCAGTGGGCTCCAAATCCTGGCCAGCCTGCTCCGAAGCCTGGAAAGTAGTGTTTTGACAGTAATCTGTTGTCTTAGTTACTTTTCTTGTTGCTCAGACACAATACCCAACACTGCAAATTAAAGGAAGAAAGGTTTATTTTGGCTCACAGTTTGTGGAGCTTTCAGTCCATAATCAGCAGGCTCAAGGCAGGGCAGCATGGGAGCCGGGCATGGCAGAAGACAGCTCATAGCACAGCAGCTGGAAGCAGAGATCGAGGGAGGAGGAAGGGGGATGCATTCTTCCAAGCCACGCCCCCCCAGTGACCCCCACCACCACCACCAGGCTTCACCTGCAGCATCACATCTAGCTATAAACTCTCGTGGACTGATCCACTGCTGAGTGTCTCACCTCCATGATCCAGTCACCTGCCCAAAGCCCCACCTATGATCACATGAGGCTTTGGGGGGACATCCACATATAAACCCTAATATCTGTCCTCACCTGAAGGGTGCACAGGTTATGGGCTGAGGCACCAGAGAAGCAACATTAGTCATCAGTGAGGCTTGCAGTGCACAAAACCCAAATAAAAGAGGTTGGTTGGTCTTGCAGATTTGATCATCTATCCTGAAGCCAGGTAAGGGTCCTCACTGCCCAGGGAGGTCCTCTCCTTGGTAACCTCTTAGCCAGAGTTCACCTCTGCCAGCCTGCCACTCTGCAGATGCACCATACTCTCTCTTTGCTGCTTGTTTCCCTTACTTTTCCTCCTCCTTTTTAGACTTTATAATGATGATAACCACTTATGTCTGTGTTTTTTACTTATGAGTTTTAAAAAAATTTTTCATCACGTATTGAATCCTGGAGATTCTTTTGGAAGGTGTGACTGGGGATGGACCCAGAGTCCTTCTCGTGCTGGGGGAGTGTGTGCTGCAGAGCTCCACCCAGCTCCCGAGAGGCTTTCATCCCTGCCGCTTTGTGACACCTGGTGAGGAGGGCGCTGTCAGGAGCAAACAGGCCGAGTCCTGAGCTGTGTCCTTTGTTTTCCAGTCCGCATTTCTCCCCTCTTGATCCTGTCTCACTTTGCCCCTGTCACCCTACCCTCCCTGGGAGAGATTAGTGCACTGTGTGCCCCGCATGCACCCAAGCCCCTGGAAACCGAAACCCTTCTTGGCCAGAAAGGGTGGTCAGATGTTCATTTATACTCATTTATTCAGCAAAATATCTGTTGCAAGTACTAAAAACAGGAAATTATTTCTTGTTTCTTATCAAAGAGGTAAGTTGAGATTTGCCAAATGTTATACATCTTGGAAAAAGACAGCACGTATTTCACTAACATAATCTGTAAGGAGTAAAGCACTGCTGGGGCTGGGGATGTGGCCCAGTGGAAGAACAGGTGTTTAGCATTTCATTTGTGAGTCCCTGGGTGTAATGAGAGAGAGGGGTGGGGGGAGAGAAAACACATGAGAAAATTATATTTATGCAAACTATTCAGAATATTTTACCTAAGGCATATGATAGTGTTCTAAGCAGTGACATTGAAGTGACATAATGACTTTGGTTTCTTTCCTTCCAATTTTATAAATGAAATGTGTATATGCTTGGTCATGGCTTCTTCTTTCTTTTCGACAGAGTGATGTTAGAACTCCAAAAAGCACTAAACATGTCCATTCAATTCACTGGAGTAGATCGAAACCACAGGATGAAGTGAAAGCTGTTCAACTCTCCATTCAGACATTGCTCCTCAATTCAGAGGGTAACCCTCGCAGCAGGTCTGACTCAAGTAAGTCAGTGTGATATGTGTGTGATACTCCGAAAAGTTAGTTACGACATTCTCATGGCAGAGGTGAGTGCCTGTCTGTAGCTAGACACACATTCCTCACATAGTACTTTCTCCTTATACTTTTAGAATATTGGTTTTTGTAAACAGATTATATGGTAAGTAGTATTTATAGACATAAATATGGGTATATTAGAATATATTTCAGGATAACCATGATAGAAGATAAACATTAGGATTACATTGCATTGGTAATAAAAATCTGTTTTCATATTTAGCTTCCAGAAATGTGTGTGCAGATAGAGATATAAATCTTCTGTGTGTAGTAAACATTTGCTGCAGAGCCGCTGCTGTCACTGGGCAATATCTTGCATCCTAAACACCACTTATACATCGAAGTATGAAAATGACTGGGGAAGGATGGAAGGCGAGGATGGAGAGGGGGAGAGAAAGGGAAGGATGGAGGGAAAAAAGGGTATGATAAGAAAGAAAAGAGGATAGAAAAAGACACAGAAAACTTGAAATACATATGGTGGATAGTGGTGTTAAATTATAGATAATGTAAAGAAACAATTACGAGTAACACTGAGGAGGATCCACTGACTGTTGTCAACTTGGTCATCATTTGGTGGACTCAAAGAAAAGATTCTGACCCTCAGCTCTGTAGGTCCAGAAATTCAAAGAACTCTTTGGGACTGGGACAAGCTAACAAAAACACTGGAAACATGTATACAATATGCATTTCCCTCTTTATCATGAGAAATATACCTGGCAAACAAAGCAAAAATGCATGTTTTCTGATTGGTGCATTTTTTTTCCCAAGAGGAAAATATACCTGTGAAGCCTTATCAGAAGCTTATTTGGTGGGCAAAGCCAGGGGCCATAACTTGCTGCCCCTGAGGGCTGACATCTTGCACTTACAAGAGCCTCACCCCTGTGTCCTCCACTATGAAGTCCGACCCATCAGGCGGACCAGCTGTCCTTGAATGCCCGCCAACCCAGTGCCTGGAATCCTGCACAATACTCAAAACCCACCAGCAGATTACTTGATGGCATGGCCATGTCCACCTTGGTCAGCACAGTTGATTTGCTTATATTTTATAAATAATCATCACAGACATCCTGACTACCAGGACTAGGCATGATTGAGTCTTTGTCAAGCCTTCCTTGCTGTAATCTCATCACCAAACATCTTTTAGGGCATGCTGTTCCTACAAATGACTGTTCCACATGATAGGAGTTGATTCCCACTAGCTGTCCTCTCAGAAGCTCTTTTTCCAGGTTCTTTTGTATTTGTTCACACAATTCTTGTTTTGCATGCCTATTACACTTCTAAGGACTTCTTTCTGTAACTACTAATGTTTGTAGGGCACATTTTACTTCTATAGAGCTTTCATGACCTTCATCCTCTTTGATCCCTGCAACAGCCCTATGAAAATGGGGTGGGGGGGTTTTCTTTTTGCATCTCTGTTGTATTTTCCTCCCATTAAAGCTTTTTTTCTGTTTCCCTACTAACATGAGACAAAATGGCTGCCAAAAATTTGATTTAACTCCAATCCCACCATGTGAGAGTCACCAAATAGACACTTTATCAGTCCCAATTTCAAACTTCTCAGCATAAAACTTAAGAATGCTGTTTTTTGCCAAGCATTCTCTCATGGGCCAATTAGCTATATGAATAGGATGAGATGGTGGTAGGTGGCCAGGACATCCTATACATTGTATTGTGGCCAAATGAATGGAGTCAGGGTGAAACCCTTAATATGGCATTTACATGGGCCTAGGTGGCATTAAATTTATCATTTAATGTGGTAAATGGCAATAAGTGTTCTTGGCTACTCTTAAAAATAAATATTTTAAGGGGCCGGGGATTTAGCTCAGTGGTTCCACTGCCTGCCTCGAAAGTGCAAGGACCAGAGTTCGATCCCTGGTACCCAAAAAACAAACAAACCAAAAGCAAAAAAAAAAAAAATTTAGGAGACAGGAAATTTGGCTTTCTCTAAACATGTACACAGGAATACCCTCCTTTCTCCTGTTGGAATTGCTCCAGATAAACTTTTTCATTCAGAATATCAAGTGGAAAGGTTGCAGACTTAGTCTCTCTTTGGAATTACTCCAATTTTATCTAATTTGCATCCCTTTCATTCTCATTGTAGCTAGCTAGTTATTAAGTAAATATATTTATTTACAAGTAAATAAATGTATTTATTAAGTAAATACTGGGGATTGAGCCCAGGGCCTTTACACTGAACTACATCCCAAGCCATATATATATATATATA